AACCCCCCTAAACCCTCAACCCCCAAAACCCCCCAAACCCCAAACCCCCAAAGCCCCAAAGCCCCAAAGCCCCAAACACCCACTCGTCACGACGCCCTCCTGGCGGGTCCACCTGGCCGTGGGCTCAGAAGAGGCTCCTGCCATGGCTGAGCCTCGGCCTCGGCGGATGCTCCTCTTATGGTCTCCGGTGGGGGTTTAGGGTTTAGGGTTAGGGTTTAGGGTTTAGGGTTTAGGGTTTAGGGTTTAGGGTTTAGGGTTTAGGGGTGGATGCTAGAGGTGGCACCCGGACAGCCGCTATACCTCAAGCTAATCGGGGACCCAGACCACGACTTCCTCCGCCAGGCTGAGGAAGGGCTACCGGTGGGAATTTACCGAGAACTCCTCACGTTTTCGAGGAGCAAAATGGCCTGCAATCCTGAACACTAAACCCTGAACCCTCGTAGCAACTAGGGTTTAGGGTTAGGGTTAGGGTTTAGGGTTAAGGTTTAGGGTTCAGGGCTTAGGTTTCAGGGTCTCCAAACCCTGAACACTAAACCCGGAAGTTTGTTTTTGAGCCGAGACCGAAAGCGGTCGCCTGCCAGAGAAATCCTGAGCCACCTAGAACTAGATTAGGGTCCCTTGTTAGGTCCCCAAAATAGTACGACACCCTTATAAAAAGGACCCTAAAGGGGACCCTAATTTAGAGAACTACCCATATCCTCTGGCCAGTACCGTAAACCAGTGAAGCCTAACCCCAAAAACCTGAACCCCCTAACACCCCCAAGCCCTAAACCCTAAACCCTAAACCCTAAATCCTAAACCCTAAACCCTAAACCCTAAACCCTAAACCCTAAACCCTAAAGCCCTGTACCCTAAACCCTAAACCCCTGAAAAGGCCCTGAGCACGAGCCCTAAAGTCCTCTAAGAATTTTTACGCCCCGACGAACCGCTAAGCCCCTAATATAGGGGCCTTAAGAATTAGAGTAGGGTTTCGTGGGCTTCCTGTAAGGGGTTCCTTAAAAAGTTCTACAACGGCGACTATAAGGGTTGAGGGTTTTTGCGGCCGTGCTAATTTGAATAGGGTTTTGGGGGCCCATTATACTATAACTATAAGAAGGACTCCCCCCCCAAATAGTATTGTTGACTGTTTAGGCCCTTACATGAACCCTAAACCCTAAACCCGAAACCCTAAACCCCAAACCCTTAAAGCCCAAACCCTAAAGCCTACACCCCAAAGGCATGATCCACCAAACTTCCGCAATCCCTTGCCCTGAGACCGAAACCTATGGCCCTTTTTGTGGGTTTCGGGTTCAGGGCTCGGGGGGTTCAGGTTTTAGGAATTTTAGGATATAGGTTCTGGGGCTTAGGATTCAGGACGTAGGGTTTAGGGTTCTAAGTGAAAAATGTAGACCTTCAAATTATGCGCACTTAGGCTGCCCCTGTTCCTCGCAAGCCTAAACCCTAAACCCTAGACCCTAAACCCTAAACCCTAAACCCTAAACCCTAAACCCTAAACCCTAAACCCTAGACCCTAAAATTTACACCCTAAGCCGTCTGCTCACCGTATACCCAGCAGAGGTGCCACGAGGTCCGCTGCATTACCCGGCGAGGGGCCCCGACGGGCACGGAAGGGCCTTAGGGTTTCTAGAAGTTGTTAAGGGTTTAGGGTTTAGGGGTTTAGGGATTCAGGGTTTAGGGGTTTGGGGTTTGGGGTTTAGCGGTT